GGGGAGGTCCTGTCTGGGATCTGCAGGTAGCTCTGAGCGTCCGGGAGGGAGGAGGCGAGAGGGAGGGAGGAGGCGAGAGGGAGGGAGGAGGCGAGAGGGAGGCTCTCTGAAGAACACAGGAGACATCAGTCATGGATCTATAATAACTGTTTACAGTGTTAGCTTATGGCTGTCCCACCCATGGCCACAGGGGGCGCTCTGGTACTGCAGACTGAATTCACGCGGGCTACACAGATAAATGTCCATAGAACTCAATGTAAACTAAAAAAACTCGACCACAGTTGACAGAGAACCTGACAGAGAACCTGACAGAGAACCTGACAGAGAACCTGACAGAAAACCTACACAGAACCTGACAGAGAACCTGACAGAGAACCTGACATGTTTTTATTGGTAGGGGAAACCTACGCAGACGCGGGAAGAACATGCAAACTCCACTCAGAAAGGCCCTGTTCCAACCGGGATTCAAACCCAGGACCTTCTTGCTGAGAAGCGACCGTGCCGCCCATGATGGGAGCTCGTCTACTGCACAGAACCAGGAGGACCAGACGATGCCCAAATATGGACGAGTTCCAATGATCTCTTGATCCCCATGGGGGGGCGCCACTGAGCACAAACCATTCATTCATATAGGACGCCATCTTGGATCAGCAGGAGTTGGTTTAAGTGCCTGTTGTGACTCTATGATGTCTGCTGTGACTCTATGATGTCTGCTGTGACTCTATGATGTCTGCAGTGACTCTATGATGTCTGCAGTGACTCTATGATGTCTGCAGTGACTCTATGATGTCTGCTGTGACTCTATGATGTCTGCAGTGACTCTATGATGTCTGCAGTGACTCTATGATGTCTGCTGTGACTCTATGATGTCTGCTGTGACTCTATGATGTCTGCAGTGACTCTATGATGTCTGCTGTGACTCTATGATGTCTGCTGTGACTCTATGATGTCTGCTGTGACTCTATGATGTCTGCTGTGACTCTATAATGCCTTTGTGACTCTATAATGCCTTTGTGACTATGATGTCTGCTGTGACTCTGATGTCTGACTCTATGATGTCTGCTGTGACTCTATGTCTGCTGTGACTCTATGATGTCTGCTGTGACTCTATGATGTCTGCTGTGACTCTATGATGTATGCTGTGACTCTATGTCTGCTGTGACTCTATGATGTCTGCTGTGACTCTATAATGCCTTTGTGACTCTATGATATCTGCTGTGACTCTATGATGTCTGACTCTATGATGTCTGCTGTGACTCTATGTCTGCTGTGACTCTATGATGTCTGCTGTGACTCTATGATGTCTGCTGTGACTCTATGATGTCTGCAGTGACTCTATGATGTCTGCTGTGACTCTATGAGGCCTGCAGCGACTCTATGATGTCTGCAGCGACTCTATGATGTCTGCAGCGACTCTATGATGTCTGCTGTGACTCTATGATGTCTGTAACTCTATGATGTCTGCTGTGACTCTATGATGTCTGTGACTCTATGATGTCTGCTGTGACTCTATGATGTCTGCTGTGACTCTATGATGTCTGTGACTCTATGATGTCTGCTGTGACTCTATGATGTCTGCTGTGACTCTATGATGTCTGTGACTCTATGATGTCTGCTGTGACTCTATGATGTCTGTGACTCTATGATGTCTGCTGTGACTCTATGATGTCTGCTGTGACTCTATGATGTCTGCTGTGACTCTATGATGTCTGCTGTGACTCTATGATGTCTGTGACTCTATGATGTCTGCTGTGACTCTATGATGTCTGCTGTGACTCTATGATGTCTGCAGTGACTCTATGATGTCTGCAGTGACTCTATGATGTCTGCTGTGACTATGATGTCTGCTGTGACTCTATGATGTCTGCTGTGACTCTATGATGTCTGCTGTGACTCTATGATGTCTGCTGTGACTCTATGATGTCTGCTGTGACTCTATAATGCCTTTGTGACTTTATGATATCTGCTGTGACTCTATGATGTCTGACTCTATGATGTCTGCTGTGACTCTATGTCTGCTGTGATTCTATGATGTCTGCTGTGACTCTATAATGCCTTTGTGACTCTATGATATCTGCTGTGACTCTATGATGTCTGACTCTGATGTCTGCTGTGACTCTATGTCTGCTGTGACTCTATGATGTCTGCTGTGACTCTATGATGTCTGCTGTGACTCTATGATGTCTGCTGTGACTCTATGATGTCTGCTGTGACTCTATAATGCCTTTGTGACTCTATGATATCTGCTGTGACTCTATGATGTCTGACTCTATGATGTCTGCTGTGACTCTATGTCTGCTGTGACTCTATGATGTCTGCTGTGACTCTATAATGCCTTTGTGACTCTATGATATCTGCTGTGACTCTATGATGTCTGCAGTGACTCTATGATGTCTGTGACTCTATGATGTCTGCAGTGACTTTATGATGTCTGCTGTGACTCTATGATGTCTGCTGTGACTCTATGATGTCTGCAGTGACTCTATGATGTCTGTGACTCTATGATGTCTGCAGTGACTTTATGATGTCTGCTGTGACTCTATGATGTCTGTGACTCTATGATGTCTGCAGTGACTTTATGATGTCTGCTGTGACTCTATGATGTCTGCTGTGACTCTATGATGTCTGCTGTGACTCTATGATGTCTGCTGTGACTCTATGATGTCTGCAGTGACTCTATGATGTCTGTGACTCTATGATGTCTGCAGTGACTTTATGATGTCTGCTGTGACTCTATGATGTCTGCTGTGACTCTATGATGTCTGCAGTGACTCTATGATGTCTGTGACTCTATGATGTCTGCAGTGACTTTATGATGTCTGCTGTGACTCTATGATGTCTGCTGTGACTCTATGATGTCTGCTGTGACTCTATGATGTCTGCTGTGACTCTATGATGTCTGCTGTGACTCTATGATGTCTGCTGTGACTCTATGATGTCTGCTGTGACTCTATGATGTCTGCTGTGACTCTATGATGTCTGCTGTGACTCTATGATGTCTGCTGTGACTCTATGATGTCTGCTGTGACTCTATGATGTCTGTGACTCTATGATGTCTGCTGTGACTCTATGATGTCTGCTGTGACTCTATGATGTCTGTGACTCTATGATGTCTGCTGTGACTCTATGATGTCTGTGACTCTATGATGTCTGCTGTGACTCTATGATGTCTGCTGTGACTCTATGATGTCTGTGACTCTATGATGTCTGCAGTGACTCTATGATGTCTCACCCTGGCTGCCCGGCCGTGCAGTCTTGGAGGTCTTCTTGTGCAGCAGGCGGTGGTGGCAGGATTTCCTCCGGTGCCGCGGGGCGCTCTCCTCCTTCATGGATTTGAAGTGTTCCGTGATCTCCTGCAGCGTGCGGTTGATCTGCAGCTCTGGCTTTCTCTGGAACGCCTTCTTACACAGAGGACACTGGTACACCTGAGGGGGAGAGGGGGGAGAGAGGGGGAGAGAGGGGAGAGAGACACTTACACAGAGGACACTGGTAGACCTGAGGGGGAGAGGGGGGAGAGAGGGGGAGAGAGACACTTACACAGAGGACACTGGTACACCTGAGGGGGAGAGAGGGGAGAGAGGGGGAGAGAGACACTTACACAGAGGACACTGGTACACCTGAGGGGAGAGGGGGGAGAGAGGGGCAGAGAGACACTTACACAGAGGACACTGGTACACCTGAGGGGGAGAGGGGGGAGAGAGGGGGAGAGAGACACTTACACAGAGGACACTGGTACACCTGAGGGGGAGAGGGGGGAGAGAGGGGGAGAGAGACACTTACACAGAGGACACTGGTACACCTGAGGGGGAGAGGGGGGAGAGAGGGGAAGAGAGACACTTACACAGAGGACACTGGTACACCTGAGGGGGAGAGAGGGGAGAGAGGGGGAGAGAGACACTTACACAGAGGACACTGGTACACCTGAGGGGGAGAGGGGGGAGAGAGGGGGAGAGAGACACTTACACAGAGGACACTGGTACACCTGAGGGGGAGAGGGGGGAGAGAGGGGCAGAGAGACACTTACACAGAGGACACTGGTAGACCTGAGGGGGAGAGGGGGGAGAGAGGGGGAGAGAGACACTTACACAGAGGACACTGGTACACCTGAGGGGGAGAGGGGGGAGAGAGGGGGAGAGAGAGGGGAGAGAGACACTTACACAGAGGACACTGGTAGACCTGAGGGGGAGAGGGGGGAGAGAGGGGGAGAGAGACACTTACACAGAGGACACTGGTACACCTGAGGGGGAGAGGGGGGAGAGAGGGGGGAGAGAGACACTTACACAGAGGACACTGGTAGACCTGAGGGGGAGAGGGGGGAGAGAGGGGGAGAGAGACACTTACACAGAGGACACTGGTACACCTGAGGGGGAGAGGGGGGAGAGAGGGGGAGAGAGAGACACTTACACAGAGGACACTGGTACACCTGAGGGGGAGAGGGGGGAGAGAGGGGGAGAGAGAGGGGAGAGAGACACTTACACAGAGGACACTGGTAGACCTGAGGGGGAGAGGGGGGAGAGAGGGGGAGAGAGACACTTACACAGAGGACACTGGTACACCTGAGGGGAGAGGGGGGAGAGAGGGGGAGAGAGACACTTACACAGAGGACACTGGTAGACCTGAGGGGGAGAGGGGGGAGAGAGGGGGAGAGAGACACTTACACAGAGGACACTGGTACACCTGAGGGGGAGAGAGGGGAGAGAGAGACACTTACACAGAGGACACTGGTACACCTGAGGGGGAGAGGGGGGAGAGAGGGGAGAGAGAGACACTTACACAGAGGACACTGGTACACCTGAGGGGGAGAGGAGGGGAGAGAGAGACACTTACACAGAGGACACTGGTACACCTGAGGGGGAGAGGGGGGAGAGAGGGGAGAGAGAGACACTTACACAGAGGACACTGGTACACCTGAGGGGGAGAGGGGGAGAGAGGGGGAGAGAGACACTTACACAGAGGACACTGGTAGACCTGAGGGGGAGAGGGGGGAGAGAGGGGGAGAGAGACACTTACACAGAGGACACTGGTACACCTGAGGGGGAGAGAGGGGGAGAGAGGGGGAGAGAGACACTTACACAGAGGACACTGGTACACCTGAGGGGGAGAGGGGGGAGAGAGGGGGAGAGAGACACTTACACAGAGGACACTGGTAGACCTGAGGGGGAGAGGGGGGAGAGAGGGGGAGAGAGACACTTACACAGAGGACACTGGTACACCTGAGGGGGAGAGGGGGAGAGAGGGGGAGAGAGACACTTACACAGAGGACACTGGTACACCTGAGGGGGAGAGGGGGGAGAGAGGGGAGAGAGACACTTACACAGAGGACACTGGTACACCTGAGGGGGAGAGGGGGGAGAGAGGGGGAGAGAGACACTTACACAGAGGACACTGGTAGACCTGAGGGGGAGAGGGGGGAGAGAGGGGGAGAGAGACACTTACACAGAGGACACTGGTACACCTGAGGGGGAGAGAGGGGAGAGAGAGACACTTACACAGAGGACACTGGTACACCTGAGGGGGAGAGGGGGGAGAGAGGGGAGAGAGAGACACTTACACAGAGGACACTGGTACACCTGAGGGGGAGAGGGGGGAGAGAGGGGGAGAGAGACACTTACACAGAGGACACTGGTAGACCTGAGGGGGAGAGGGGGGAGAGAGGGGGAGAGAGACACTTACACAGAGGACACTGGTACACCTGAGGGGGAGAGGGGGGAGAGAGGGGGAGAGAGACACTTACACAGAGGACACTGGTACACCTGAGGGGGAGAGGGGGGAGAGAGGGGGAGAGAGACACTTACACAGAGGACACTGGTACACCTGAGGGGGAGAGAGGGGAGAGAGGGGGAGAGAGACACTTACACAGAGGACACTGGTACACCTGAGGGGGAGAGGGGGGAGAGAGGGGCAGAGAGACACTTACACAGACGACACTGGTACACCTGAGGGGGAGAGGGGGGAGAGAGGGGAGAGAGAGGGGAGAGAGACACTTACACAGAGGACACTGGTAGACCTGAGGGGGAGAGGGGGGAGAGAGGGGGAGAGAGACACTTACACAGAGGACACTGGTACACCTGAGGGGGAGAGGGGGGAGAGAGGGGGAGAGAGACACTTACACAGAGGACACTGGTAGACCTGAGGGGGAGAGGGGGGAGAGAGGGGGAGAGAGACACTTACACAGAGGACACTGGTACACCTGAGGGGGAGAGAGGGGAGAGAGAGACACTTACACAGAGGACACTGGTACACCTGAGGGGGAGAGGGGGGAGAGAGGGGAGAGAGAGACACTTACACAGAGGACACTGGTACACCTGAGGGGGAGAGGGGGGAGAGAGGGGGAGAGAGACACTTACACAGAGGACACTGGTAGACCTGAGGGGGAGAGGGGGGAGAGAGGGGGAGAGAGACACTTACACAGAGGACACTGGTACACCTGAGGGGGAGAGAGGGGAGAGAGGGGAGAGAGACACTTACACAGAGGACACTGGTAGACCTGAGGGGGAGAGGGGGGAGAGAGGGGGAGAGAGACACTTACACAGAGGACACTGGTACACCTGAGGGGGAGAGAGGGGAGAGAGGGGGAGAGAGACACTTACACAGAGGACACTGGTACACCTGAGGGGGAGAGGGGGGAGAGAGGGGGAGAGAGACACTTACACAGAGGACACTGGTAGACCTGAGGGGGAGAGGGGGGAGAGAGGGGGAGAGAGACACTTACACAGAGGACACTGGTACACCTGAGGGGGAGAGGGGGGAGAGAGGGGGAGAGAGACACTTACACAGAGGACACTGGTACACCTGAGGGGGAGAGAGGGGGAGAGAGACACTTACACAGAGGACACTGGTACACCTGAGGGGGAGAGGGGGGAGAGAGGGGGAGAGAGACACTTACACAGAGGACACTGGTACACCTGAGGGGGAGAGGGGGGAGAGAGGGGGAGAGAGACACTTACACAGAGGACACTGGTACACCTGAGGGGGAGAGGGGGGAGAGAGGGGGAGAGAGACACTTACACAGAGGACACTGGTACACCTGAGGGGGAGAGGGGGGAGAGAGGGGAGAGAGAGACACTTACACAGAGGACACTGGTACACCTGAGGGGGAGAGGGGGGGGAGAGAGGGGGAGAGAGACACTTACACAGAGGACACTGGTAGACCTGAGGGGGAGAGGGGGGAGAGAGGGGGAGAGAGACACTTACACAGAGGACACTGGTACACCTGAGGGGGAGAGAGGGGAGAGAGGGGGAGAGAGACACTTACACAGAGGACACTGGTACACCTGAGGGGGAGAGGGGGGAGAGAGGGGGAGAGAGACACTTACACAGAGGACACTGGTAGACCTGAGGGGGAGAGGGGGGAGAGAGGGGGAGAGAGACACTTACACACAGAGGACACTGGTACACCTGAGGGGGAGAGGGGGGAGAGAGGGGGAGAGAGACACTTACACAGAGGACACTGGTACACCTGAGGGGGAGAGAGGGGGAGAGAGACACTTACACAGAGGACACTGGTACACCTGAGGGGGAGAGGGGGGAGAGAGGGGGAGAGAGACACTTACACAGAGGACACTGGTACACCTGAGGGGGAGAGGGGGGAGAGAGGGGGAGAGAGACACTTACACAGAGGACACTGGTACACCTGAGGGGAGAGGGGGGAGAGAGGGGGAGAGAGACACTTACACAGAGGACACTGGTACACCTGAGGGGGAGAGGGGGGAGAGAGGGGGAGAGAGGGGAGAGAGACACTTACACAGAGGACACTGGTACACCTGAGGGGGAGAGGGGGGAGAGAGGGGGAGAGAGAGGGGAGAGAGACACTTACACAGAGGACACTGGTACACCTGAGGGGGAGAGGGGGGAGAGAGGGGGAGAGAGAGTAGAGTAGCTCACACAGAGTACTGTAGCTCCCACAGAGTAGCTCACAGAGTAGCTCCCACAGAGTAGCTTACAGAGTAGCTCCCACAGAGTACTGTAGCTCCCACAGAGTATCTCCCACAGATTAGCTCACACAGAGTACTGTAGCTCCCACAGAGTACAGTATAGCTCCCACAGAGTAGCTCACAGAGTAGCTCACACAGAGTAGCTTACAGAGTAGCTCCCACAGAGTAGCTCCCACAGAGTAGCTCACACAGAGTAGCTTACAGAGTAGCTCCCACAGAGTAGCTCCCACAGAGTAGCTCACACAGAGTAGCTTACAGAGTAGCTCCCACAGAGTAGCTCCCACAGAGTAGCTCACACAGAGTAGCTCACAGAGTAGCTCCCAGGGTGGGTGAAAGGTAGTGGCAGTGACTGTGGGAAAGAGTGGGCTCTCCCCCTCTCCCCCCCTCTCCCCCCCTCTCTCTGTGAGACTGAGGATGCAGGGGCCCTCCCTCCCCCCCTCTCCCCCTCCCTCCCCCCCCTCTCAGCCTCCCTCCCCCCTCTCCCCCTCCCTCCCCCCTCTCCCCCTCCCTCCCCCCCTCTCACCCTCTCTCCGTCCCAGTAGGTGTTGATGCAGTGGAGGCAGAAGCTGTGTCCGCAGGGGGTCGAGGCCGGGCTGGAGAACAGGTCCAGACAGATGGAGCAGAGGAACTCATCGTCTGTGAGGAACCCACCGTCCAGAGACATCCTGGACACACACAGAGACACACACACTGAGACACACACACTGAGACACACGCACAGCGACACACACTGAGACACACACTGAGACACACACTGAGACACACACAGAGACACACACACTGAGACACACGCACAGCGACACACACTGAGACACACACTGAGACACACACTGAGACACACACTGAGACACACACTGAGATACACACAGAGACACACACTGAGACACACACAGAGACACACACACTGAGACACACACTGAGACACACACTGAGACACACAGAGACCAGAGAGACACCAAAGAGAGACCAGAGAGAGACCAGAGAGAGACCAGAGAGAGACCAGAGAGAGACCAGAGAGAGAGACCAGAGAGAGACCAGAGAGAGACCAGAGAGAGACCAGAGAGAGACCAGAGAGAGACCAGAGAGAGACCAGAGAGAGACCAGAGAGACCAGAGAGAGACCAGAGAGAGAGACCAGAGAGAGACCAGAGAGACCAGAGAGAGAGACCAGAGAGAGACCAGAGAGAGACCAGAGAGAGACCAGAGAGAGACCAGAGAGAGACCAGAGAGACCAGAGAGAGAGACCAGAGAGAGACCAGAGAGAAACCAGAGAGAGACCAGAGAGACCAGAGAGAGACCAGAGAGAGAGACCAGAGAGAGACCAGAGAGACCAGAGAGAGAGACCAGAGAGAGACCAGAGAGAGACCAGAGAGAGACCAGAGAGAGACCAGAGAGACCAGAGAGAGAGACCAGAGAGAGACCAGAGAGAGACCATAGGGAGACAGACTGGGTCCTCAGTTCAGCTACATTATGTTGTGATGTCTTGTTTTTGACCCAGTTTCTGATGTGTCTCGTTCACTTCTCTTCAGAGTTGATTCTTGCAGACATCATTATTATTATTATTATTATTATTATTATTATTATCATTATTATTATTATTATCATTATTTTTGTTATTATTATTATTATGTTCATTATTATTATTATTATTATTATTATTATTTTCATTATTATTATTTTCATTATTATTATTATTATTATTATTATTTTCATTATTATTATCATTATTATTATTATTATTATTTTCATTATTATTATTATTATTATTATTATCATTATTATTATTATTATTATTATTATTTTATTATCATTATTATTATTATTATTTTTATTATTATTATCATCATAATTATTATTATTATTATTATTATCTACAGTGTCCTCAGTCTCTCTGCAGCAGGTCTTGGTTCCCACGGGAACAGGTCTGAGATTTAAACAAGCAGTAAAACGTGTTGGACCAGAGAGCCGCAGATACCATCAACCAGAATGAGGACCAGCAACATTCTCCAGGAACCACTCTTGTGCCACAGAATACTGTGTGATTTATTTAACACTGTAGAATTAAAGCTGGGCTTCTTTAATCTCAAACCACAGACTACTCTGTGCCACTTTTTCTTTTATTCTTCTACATGATTATATCCTGCACACTTCTGTGATGTCACATGGTTCCATCTGTAATGTCACATTTACCATCAGCGATACACTCACATTAAAGCTTTGGCTCCAAAACGGTCTCTTCGATCCACAGTGGTCTGGGTCCAGGTCCAGGTCTGGTCTTAGTCTTGGTCCAAGTCTGGTTCTTTGGATGGTTGTGGAAAGAACAAAAGCAATTTGTCTCTGGTCTCTCTCTCTGGTCTCTCTCTGGTCTCTCTCTGGTCTCTCTCTGGTCTCTCTCTGGTCTCTCTCTGGTCTCTCTTTGGTCTCTCTCTGGTCTCTCTCTCTGGTCTCTCTCTGGTCTCTCTCTGGTCTCTCTCTCTGGTCCCTCTCTCTCTGGTCCCTCTCTGGTCCCTCTCTGGTCTCTCTCTCTGGTCTCTCTCTGGGTCTCTCTCCGGGTCTCTCTCTGGGTCTCTCTCTGGGTCTCTCTCTGGGTCTCTCTCTGGTCCCTCTCTGGGTCTCTCTCTGGGTCTCTCTCTGGTCTCTCTCTCTGGTCTCTCTCTCTCTGGGTCTCTCTCTGGGTCTCTCTGGTCCCTCTCTGGGTCTCTCTCTGGGTCTCTCTCTGGTCTCTCTCTCTGGTCTCTCTCTCTCTGGGTCTCTCTCTGGGTCTCTCTGGTCCCTCTCTGGGTCTCTCTCTGGGTCTCTCTCTGGTCTCTCTCTCTCTGGTCTCTCTCTCTGATCTCTCTCTGGGTCTCTCTCTGGGTCTCTCTCTGGTCCCTCTCTGGTCCCTCTCTGGGTCTCTCTCTGGTCTCTCTCTCTGGTCTCTCTCTGGTCTCTCTCTCTCTGGGTCTCTCTCTGGGTCTCTCTCTGGGTCTCTCTGGGTCTCTCTCTGGGTCTCTCTCTGGTCTCTCTCTGGTCTCTCTCTGGTCTCTCTCTGGTCTCTCTCTGGTCTCTCTCTGGTCTCTCTCTCGTCCCTCTCTGGTCTCTCTCTGGTCTCTCTCTGGTCTCTCTCTGGTCTCTCTCTGGTCTCTCTCTGGTCTCTCTGGTCTCTCTCTCGTCCCTCTCTGGTCTCTCTCTGGTCTCTCTCTGGTCTCTCTCTGGTCTCTCTCTGGTCTCTCTCTGGTCTCTCTCTGGTCTCTCTCTCGTCCCTCTCTGGTATGTCAGTCCTATCCATGATCTAACCCACATGAGCCTCAGGTTTATGTAAACTGACGAGCCGTGACACATGTTTAGGAAAAGACAGATCAGATCAGTGACAGACTGGAGAGGTTAAGCAGGGCAGGGCCTGATTAGTCCAGTGATGGGAGACTTCAGGGAACTGGTGTCAAAGTGTATTTTCATTGTAATCTTTTGCTTCTGTCAATACTTTGTCCTTCTGGTCTCTCTCTCTGGTCGGTCTCTCTCTGGTCTCTATCTCTGGTCTCTCTCTCAGGTCTCTATCTCTGGTCTCTCTCTCAGGTCTATCTCTCTGGTGTCCCTCTCTGGTGTCCCTCTAATCTCTCTCTGGTCTCTCTGGTCCCTGTCTCTGGTCTCTCTCTTTGGTCTATCTCTCTGGTCCCTCTGTTCTCTTTCTGGTCTCTCTCACTGGTCTCTCTTTCTGGTCTCTCTCGCTCTGGTCTCCCTCTCTGGTCTCCCTCTCTGGCTGGTCTCTCTATCTGGTCTCTCTTTGGTCTATCTCTAATCTCTTTCTGGTCTCCCTCTCTGGTCTCTCTCTGATCTCTCTCTGGTCTCTCTCTCTGGTCTCTCTCTCTGGTCTCTCTCTCTGGTCTCTCTCTGGTATCTCTCTGGTCTCTCTCTGGTCCCTCTCTCTCTGGTCTCTCTCTGGTCCCTCTCTCTCTGGTCTCTCTCTCTGGTCTCTCTCTGGTCTCTCTCTTGTCTCTCTCTGGGTTCCTCTTTGGGTCCCTCCCTGGTCTCTCTCTGGTCTCTCTCTGGGTCTCTCTCTGGTCCCTCTCTGGTCCCTCTCTGGGTCTCTCTCTGGGTCTCTCTCTGGTCTCTCTCTCTGGTCTCTCTCTGGGTCTCTCTCTGGTCTCTCTCTGGTCTCTCTCTGGTCTCTCTCTGGGTCTCTCTCTGGTCTCTCTCTGGGTCTCTCTCTGGTCTCTCTCTGGTCTCTCTCTGGTCTCTCTCTGGTCCCTCTCTGGGTCTCTCTCTGGGTCTCTCTCTGGTCTCTCTCTGGTCTCTCTCTGGTCTCTCTTTCTGGTCTCTCTCTCTCTGGTCTCCCTCTCTGGTCTCCCTCTCTGGCTGGTCTCTCTCTCTGGTCTCTCTCTGGTTTCTATCTCCGGTCTCTCTCTCTGGTCTCCCTCTCTGGCTGGTCTCTCTCTGTTCTCTTTCCGGTCTCTCTCTCTGGTCTCCCTCTCTGGCTGGTCTCTCTCTGGTCTCTCTTTGGTCTATCTCTAATCTCTTTATGGTCTCTCTCTCTGGTCTCTCTCTGGTCTCCTCTGGTCTCTCTCTGGTCTCTCTCTCTGGTCTCTCTCTGGTCTCTCTCTGGTCTCTCTCTGGTCTCTCTCTCTGGTCTCTCCCTGGTCTCTCTCTGGTCTCTCTCTGGTCTCTCTCTCTGGTCTCTCTCTGGTCTCTCTCTGGCCTCTCTCTGGTCCCTCTGATCTCTCTCTGGTCTCTCTCTCTGGTCTCTCTCTGGTCTCTCTCTCTGGTCTCTCTCTCTCTGGTCTCTCTCCGGTCTCTCTCTGGTCTCTCTCTGGTCCCTCTGATCTCTCTCTGGTCTCTCTCTCTGGTCTCTCTCTGGTTTCTATCTCCTGTCTCTCTCTCTGGTCTCTCTCTGGTCTCTCTCTGGTTTCTATCTCCTGTCTCTCTCTCTGGTCTTTCTCTGGTCTCTCTCTGGTGTCTCTCTGGTCCCTCTGATCTCTCTCTGGTCTCTCTCTGGTCTCTCTCTGGTCTCTCTCTCTGGTCTCTCTCTCTGGTCTCTCTCTGGTATCTCTCTGGTCTCTCTCTGGTCTCTCTCTGTTCTCTATCTCTGGTTTCTATCTCCTGTCTCTCTCTCTGGTCTCTCTCTGGTCTCTCTCTGGTCTCTCTCTCTGGTCTCTCTCTGGTCCCTCTGATCTCTCTCTGGTCTCTCTCTCTGGTCTCTCTCTGGTCTCTCTCTGGTCTCTCTCTCTGGTCTCTCTCTGGTCCCTCTGATCTCCTCTCTGGTCTCTCTCTGGTCTCTCTCTGATCTCTCTCTGGTCTCTCTCTCTCTGGTCTCTGGTCTCTGGTCTCTCTCTGGTCTCTCTCTGGTCCCTCTGATCTCTCTCTGGTCTCTCTCTGGTCTCTCTCTGGTCCCTCTGATCTCTCTCTGGTCTCTCTCTGGTCTCTCTCTGGTCTCTCTCTCTGGTCTCTCTCTGGTCTCTCTCTCTGGTCTCTCTCTGGTCTCTCTCTGGTCTCTCTCTGGTCTCTCTCTGGTCCCTCTGATCTCTCTCTGGTCTCTCTCTCTCTCTGGTCTCTCTCTGGTCTCTCTCTGGTCTCTCTCTCTGGTCTCTCTCTGGTCTCTCTCTGGTCTCTCTCTCTGGTCTCTCTGGTCTCTCTCTGGTCCTCTCTCTCTGGTCTCTCTCTGGTCTCTCTCTGGTCTCTCTCTGGTCCCTCT